AATGTTAAAAGCAGGTGGGGATATAGTTTTGGAGTGGTTGGTGCAATTATTTAATAAATGTATGGAAGAGGGTAAGGTACCTAGGGATTGGCAGAGAGCATGCATAGTTCCTTTGTATAAAGGTAAAGGGGATAAAAGAGAGTGCAAAAATTATAGGGGGATAAGTCTGTTGAGTATACCTGGTAAAGTGTATGGTAGAGTTATAATTGAAAGAATTAAGAGTAAGACGGAAAATAGGATAGCAGATGAACAAGGAGGCTTTAGGAAAGGTAGGGGGTGTGTGGACCAGGTGTTTACAGTGAAACATATAAGTGAACAGTATTTAGATAAGGCTAAAGAGGTCTTTGTGGCATTTATGGATTTGGAAAAGGTGTATGACAGGGTGGGATAGGGGGGCAATGTGGCAGATGTTGCAAGTGTATGGTGTAGGAGGTAGGTTACTGAAAGCAGTGAAGAGTTTTTACGAGGATAGTGAGGCTCAAGTTAGAGTATGTAGGAAAGAGGGAAATTTTTTCCCAGTAAAAGTAGGCCTTAGACAAGGATGTGTGATGTCACCGTGGTTGTTTAATATATTTATAGATGGGGTTGTAAGAGAAGTAAATGCGAGGGTGTTGGCAAGAGGTGTGGAGTTAAAAGATAAAGAATCACACACAAAGTGGGAGTTGTCACAGCTGCTCTTTGCTGATGACACTGTGCTCTTGGGAGATTCTGAAGAGAAGTTGCAGAGATTGGTGGATGAATTTGGTAGGGTGTGCAAAAGAAGAAAATTAAAGGTGAATACAGGAAAGAGTAAGGTTATGAGGATAACAAAAAGATTAGGTGATGAAAGATTGAATATCAGATTGGAGGGAGAGAGTATGGAGGAGGTGAACGTATTCAGATATTTGGGAGTGGACGTGTCAGCAGATGGGTCTATGAAAGATGAGGTGAATCATAGAATTGATGAGGAAAAAAGAGTGAGTGGTGCACTTAGGAGTCTGTGGAGACAAAGAACTTTGTCCTTGGAGGCAAAGAGGAGAATGTATGAGAGTATGTTTTACCAACGCTCTTATATGGGTGTGAAGCATGGGTGATGAATGTTGCAGCGAGGAGAAGGCTGGAGGCAGTGGAGATGTCATGTCTGAGGGCAATGTGTGGTGTGAATATAATGCAGAGAATTCGTAGTTTGGAAGTTAGGAGGAGGTGCGGGATTACCAAAACTGTTGTCCAGAGGGCTGAGGAAGGGTTGTTGAGGTGGTTCGGACATGTAGAGAGAATGGAGCGAAACAGAATGACATCAAGAGTGTATCAGTCTGTAGTGGAAGGAAGGGGGGGTAGGGGTCGGCCCTAGGAAAGGTTGGAGGGAGGGGGTAAAGGAGGTTTTGTGTGCGAGGGGCTTGGACTTCCAGCAGGCTGCGTGAGCGTGTTTGATAGGAGTGAATGGAGACAAATGGTTTTTAATACTTGATGTGCTGTTGGAGTGTGAGCAAAGTAACATTTATGAAGGGATTCAGGGAAACCGGCAGGCCGGACTTGAGTCCTGGAGATGGGAAGTACAGTGCCTGCACTCTGAAGGAGGGGTGTTAATGTTGCAGTTTAAAAACTGTAGTGTAAAGCACCCTTCTGGCCAGACAGTGATGGAGTGAATGATGGTGAAAGTTTTTCTTTTTCGGGCCACCCTGCCTTGGTGGGAATCGGCCAGTGTGATAATAAAAATTAATAATAATAATATATGCTTCAATGTAAACACTTGATCTACACATCCCCTACCCACTCTAAAACCTCCTTGCTCATCCGCAATCCCACATTTTGTCTTACCCTAATTCTTTCAATAATAACCCTACCATACACTTTTCCTGGTATACTCAGTAAACTTATTGCTCTATAATTTTTACAATCTCTTTTGTCCCCCTTCCCTTTATATAAAGGAATTATATATGTTCTCTGCCAATCCCTAGGTACCTTCCCCTCTTTCATACATTTATTAAACAAAAATACCAACCACTCCAACACTATATCCACCCTGCTTTTAATATTTCTGTCATGATCCCGTCAGTTCCAGCTGCTTTTCCCCCTTTCATTCTACGTAATGCCTCACGCACCTCCTCCACACTCAACCTGCTCTTCTTCACTCCTAAAAGATGGTACACCTCCCTGGCCAGTGCATGAAATTACCGCCTCCCTTTCTTCGTCAACATTTAAAAGTTCCTCAAAATATTCCTGCCATCTACCCAGTACCTCCATTTCCCCATCTACTAACTCTCCTACTCTGTTTTTAACTGACAAATCCATTCGTTCCCTAGGCTTTCTTAACTTGTTTATCTCGCTCCAAAATTTTTTCTTTTCATCAAAATTTCTTGACAGTGCCTCTCCCACTCTATCATCTGCTCTCCTTTTACACTCTCTCACCACTCTTTTCACCTTTCTTTTATTCTCCATATACTCTGCTCTTCTGATAACACTTCTGCTTTGTAAAAACCTCTCATAAGCTACCTTTTTCTCTTTTACCACATCTTTTACTTCATCATTCCACTCATCACTCCTCTTTCCTCCTGCACCCACCCTCCTATAACCACAAACTTCTACCCCATATTCTAATACTGCATTTTTAAAACTATTCCAACCCTCTTCAACCTCCCCCTTACTACTCATACTTGCACTAGCCCACCTTTCTGCCAATAGTTGCTTATACTATCTCACCCGAACTTCTTCCTTACTTAGTTTATATACTTTCACCTCTCTCTTACTTGTTGTTGCCATTTTTCTTTTGTCCCATCTACCTCTTACTCTAACTGTAGCTACAACTAAATAATGATCCGATATATCAGTTGCCCCTCTATAAACATGTACATCCTGAAGCCTACCCCTCAACCTTTTATCCATCAATATATAATCTAACAAACTACTGTCATTATGTGCTATATCATACCTTGTATATTTATTTATCCTCTTTTTCATAAAATATGTATTGCTTATTACCAAACCTCTTTCTACACATAGCTCAATTAAAGGTTCCCCATTTTCATTTACCCCTGGCACCCCAAATTTACCTACTACTGCCTCCACAACATTTTTACCCACTTTAGCATTAAAATCCCCCAACCACAAGTACTCTCACACTTGGTTCAAAACTCCGCACACACTTGCTCAACAATTCCCAAAACCTCTCTCTCTCTCCTCTACACTTCTCTCTTCTCCAGGTGCATATATGCTTACTAATACCCACTTTTCACATCCAATCTTCATTTTACTCCACATAATCCTTGAATTAATACATTTATACTCCCTCTTTTCATGCCATAGATTATCCTTCAACATTGCTACTCCTCCTTTAGCTCTAACTCTATTCGAAACCCCTGACCTAATCCCATTTACTTCTCCCTGCTGAAACTCTCCCACCCCCTTCAGCTTTGTTTCACTTAAAGCCAAGGCATCCAGCTTTTTCTCATTCATAGCATCCACAATCATCTCTTTCTTATCATTTGCACAACATCCACACACATTCAGACATCCCACTTTGACATAATTCATTTATATCTTGATAAATCATAGGTACAGAATTTGTTTCGGGGACTAAAATTAAATTACATATTGTACATGTAAAATAATTTCTGCTGTATAAAATCTGTAAAAGTAGCCTGTACATTCATTGTTATATACATTTAGTAAACTTGCTTACAAATTTATAAACTATTACCCTAAACCCGTCCTCTGAGGCTCAAACGGAATATCAGCAGTACATGCGTGCTAAGCTTGTAAATATAAGAGTGGCATTCAGAAATTTACCCAGTACTCAAAACACCCTGCACCTAATGTAACTTACTCTTCAACAAGCCGTACCACAACAGAAGCCTCTTCTAGTAAAACCCTTCAAAGAACTGGAGTTGCTTTCCTCTATGGGTCAAACCCAAATACCTCCCTGTCCCCAGATGTTGTATGACACCTATGGCCTCAGCACTTCCCATAAATATAATCTCATAAAAACACAAAATGAAACTTGCAAAATTCAAAGGAAGTGCAGCAAACTGGTAACTGATTAAAGGAAAATGAGCTCTTTAGAAAATGCAAGAGTGTGATCTGCAAATTATCTGGAGTAAAAATACTTCAGGCCAGAAACAGACAGAAGCAAGGATAAACTATATCAGTGATGAATGAAGAATGTTTGGAAATTACACACAAATTAGCCTCAGGGATATCCGAAAATATATTTAATACATACGCAGTACAGTAGCAAAGAAGCAGAATGAGCTCAATCACATCATCATACAAGTACAGTATGCCAGTTATGACATACCACAATTTAATTAAGAGGGGTTTATTTTACATGGAAAGAAATATGGTACAGTACATGTGGATGGGAGACTGGAAACCATGCCATTTTTCTTGTGATGTCATCTACTGTATCCAAGATACTGTATTGTAAAATTGGAGATGTAGTTCAAATATGGTAACCCTTGAAGAGCTGAACTTCTATTTCAATAACAGTTACATTAAGGAGGAACACAGGTTTCATCAAAATTGTGAAATGTCAAACTGAAGAAGTTATATCCTTCATTCTCTTCAAAAGAAGAAAATGCGTTGATGCTAGTGAAAGGCTCTTGATCCAATGAAATGGAGCTACACTTCCTTGAATCCAACTTGATTGTCTACCATTATTCCTTGTAAATGAAATACTCAGTACAATAACTACTAATCCTGACTGATAATGCTCTAAATGAAATGCTTATCACCACATCTACTATATGTACAGAGGTACAAGTTGTGTTCCTGGTTTTTCAACTTAAACGAGTTGTTTGTATAAAAATGAGCACAGAGAATAGTTGTTTCACAAATGTTTGTACTACAGTTTGGATGTTGTAAAACTTTAAACTGTGTTCTAAATGGGTATTTGTAAGTGTGGATGTGTGTAACTTTAAATTCAGGTCCTGCTATTTTTCTGAATTATCATATGTAGATGTTTGATTAACATGTCCACTAAATGTATCCTGAACCATCATACACAGATGCAGCTGCCAGATTCGAATCATGAAAAAACACCACAATTTGGGTATACTCCTGCACTACCATTTTTAGCAACCTTTTTTTTTTTTTATTTATTTAAATTCTTAAAGATATTTGTCATCACAGTTTTATATTTGCACTAGTAAATTCATTATAAACAATCATCACTAACCTAATGGTTTTTCTTACAAGATTTAAATCTTACCTACACATCCAGTAATTTGCTATCCATACATTATTCTGTCTAAGAAATGTAAAGTTGAGTACATACACGTTTTATCATTTAATATTACTGGGCTTTCTCTTGCAAGATGTTTTCGTTAATCACATCATCTTCACATGGTATCTTGCATCTTAACTCCCGCAGTAGATTGATGAGTGCATGCGGTGGGATGTTTTGGGCCAGAAGATCCATTATAGTCCTGGGATTAGGGAACTTTATTATCGAAAATGCATATGATCATTTGTCTTTCTATGCTAACACTCCCTGTCATACTAGATATGACAATTGGTATGTAATTATCTGAAAATGATGAGACTAATGATGATATTGCTGGTTTGGATCTTGTTCTCAATAAATGGTGAAAAATGTCAAATATCGTCTTTTGCGGGATCTGGTACATGTACGATTTCTTTTCTACTTGATCACTTAATATTTCTTTCAGTTTTCTGCATACCAACTCAATACAAAATGGATACATGTATGAAAAATTCAGAGTATAGCATGTACTGTGCTAGTCAGTGGATCACTGTCAAATACAATAAATCAGTTAAATAAACATTTGCATATAGAATATTTTCAATGTAGTGGAAAACACAATGATGTATCAACAGACTGTTCGCTAAGCACATTTATATATCAAATGAACATGTGAAAGACAATGCAGTTTTACTTTTCATGTAAAGTGATTTTTGCTAATCATATTTGTGTTCTGTCATGAACTCGGCTACACAAAAATTTATTATACGTATATGATTCCAAGCATTTGTAGATTTTTCAACTCTTTGATCTACTGTATATTAACTTTGTAAAAAAATTAGATACATACTGTACTGTAGTTCACAATGTCTAAACACATCACTGCTGGCAACATTAATTTATCTAGCCACTCTAATTTCATATGAATATTTGCCATTTATTAGCCTTAACTTTCCTTAACCCTCTAACTTTCCAAACGTAGATCTACGTTTGTGCATGTAGCGCTCCACCCTTGATTTTCTCCATAAAAAAAAAAAACGTAGATCTACGTTTGGAGCGCTACGCGAGCAAACGTAGATCTACATTTGGACAGTTTAAGGGCTAATGTCTCATCCTTTCCTGTACATCAAGACCATCTTAGTACTGTACTGAAAAGGTGCTTTTTTTTGTAATTTTTTTTGGAAACTTCACTCAATTTTTCCATTAACTATAATTTCCAGGTTACTGGCATATTTACAAATACAGTATAAGGTAGGTTCTGTGATTAAGGGAAGCTACAAAAGTTATAAAACATTAACAGACATTACAGTACACTCATAGAAAATTAGTGCTGTATAGAGTCATACACAGCCTTGAGGAATAGCAAGTATCAGGGTCAGTCCAAGGAAAGGGAGATCAAACTGCCAACATCACAGAACCTTCCTTGAAGAAAGAACAACAACTGAAGAAAAATAGGATGTCAGAAAAATTCAGCAAGACAGTATGGAGGTTACTCAATGCACTGGAACATACAATACATCATGAGAGAATGAATATTCATGGCATTTCAGACAAAATATAACATCCATTAAAATCTAATACAGTATGTGCATTCAACTTGAATGCCCTTGGTGACCCAATGTAATTATGAATACTCTATCCATAGCTCATTTATGCCTAAAAAAACACTGCTCAGACAAAAGGTGTTATATTAATGGAAATTTTATTAGCATCCTTATAAAGGAAAGGGGGTACAGCATATTAAGGAAAAGGACTCTAGCACAAAAGGAACAGGAAGGAAAACAAAAAAGTCAATTATAAACATCATTTACAGGCAGTTGTTGATAGGATCAAGATATCAAGGATAGACAGTCAGATCTAAATATTCACCTAGTTTCTCTTAAAATTATCAATTCAAATTTGAATTTTAAAACTATACTAACTTGAATAGCTGAGGATGTATGATGATGCCAGCAGCTCTCACCAAATCAAAAAGTTGTCGTTGCTCTGAACTAAGGTTGTTTTTTACAAACGTATACTGGTGGACCTCACTCATCTTGATTAAAACAAAGAAAAATCGTAAATAATAACTAAATAAATACTGAACAAAAATAGAGTGGCAATCCAATGTTTTAGTGTACTCTCCTACATAGCATTACAGTAACTACTAGTAATTTACTATCTGACATTCCTTATTGAAGCACTTACCAGCTTTAAAACTGATCCTCTTTAAGCTCCAATTTTTTTTGTTTATCTTACACCCCTCAAGGGAGGTTCCATAATGTTTCTGAAGGGCTTGTGATCCAAGGAATTGAACCTACCCTCTGCTTCCTTGTATCAAACCCTATTAAAACACATTTCCCATTTTGATGTCTATCACCTGTGGGTTAAGCACTCTCCCTATGAAAATAATTCTTATTTTACAACTGTGGCCTCTTCTAAGAATTCTTATTTTACATCTGTGGCCTCTGCTGTATCTGATAAAGATACTGTATTAATAAAGCATTCTTATCTATTCTTTCATATCCCTTTACAAGTTAATATGTGGTTATTAGCCAATGATTACAGCCTTTCAACATATTTTTTTTTTTTAGCTCTAGGAGCTATTTTGTACAAAAAATTTGTCTTATCCATGTGTGTTCAAGTACACACTACACAGCCTCTGCATATTCCATCTCCCTCCCTCCCTCTCTATATCTCTATCTGTATTTCTATATATATCTACCTCTTTCTGGGATCCAATGAAATAATTAGGTGCATCTGAAATTGTTTTGAAGCTGGATCATGTTTTTTGGGGATAGAACTGAAACAGAAAATTTATATAATCAACACATTCTTACTGTGCTATTTACAAATTGTTTTTAACAATTTGTAAAAAACATCTAAAACAAAGTGATTAGAGCTTCAAAAATATTAAACTTCATCGTATTATACTGTATATGGTTAAGTTAAGTCAACCTTGGCAGGGTGTCCCGTGGCCTGGTAGGCAACGCTCTTGCCTCACACGCTGAGTGTCCATGGTTTGATCCCCAACTGGGTGGAAACATTGGGTATGTGTCCTTACACCTGCTGTCTCCATTCACCTAGCAAATAAGTAGGTACCTGGGTATTAGCCAACTGGTGTGATGCATCCTGGGGAGGAAAATTGAAGGGCCTCTATGGAAATAAGACAGATAGTCCTCAATGATGCACTGATTTTCTTGGGTTATCCTGGGTGGCTGACCCTCCAGGGTTAAAAATCCAAACAAAATCTTATCTTCAGGTTTATCAAAACTTTATTCGGGTTTCCCGCTCTTGGCTTTCTTCAAGTCTCAAAAATAAAATCTTCACGCTACTGTATTTGTTATAAAAACTGATTTTGGTAATAGTTACCAACTACTAATAGGTGGAACACTGCCATTATTTTACATTCTACAACATATACAAGCTATGTGCAGCACATAATAAATAATTACTTCTTGAGCAAATTGTTGCTTTGGATTATATACGGAAAATACTACACACATTTTGGTTACACAGCACATTGAGGCAAGTCTCAAACCTTCCAAAGTGTAAATGAAGATAAAGTATATAGCAATTTCATTTTCCTAACCTATTTTTAAAAGCTATCTCCCCACATAACAATTTTTACAAGAATTACCTGTTTCATGATGTATATATATGCATTGAAAAAATGGAAACTATACCCTAGTGGTACGCAGTAGTTATATTGGTAGCTTTTCTAATACTAGTCGTCTTCCACCATTGGTCATTCCAAAGAGTCACTTGCCCCTATCTGGGTGAAAACCAATTTCAATGTGTATTTTTAAAATATATAACATAAATTTTTATATCAAGATAAATGCTCTTGAAAACTTGTGAACCAACCTTCTCTGCTGGACGTCTGATCAACTTGGTGGAGCATCAGTGCAACAATGCATACAATACTGTATACTGTTTTGCACAAAGTATTATATACAATGTTATCTTTTATGAAAAACTTGCCACTGCTCGTCCAGCCTCTGATCACTGCACCTGTTACTCTCCGTCACTTGCAGTTTACTTACAGGATACTCTCCTGCCAATGACTACATTCAGTGACTTGTGATTTTGGTTCAGTGATGTCTTGTCACTGCAGTTGCTTGTGGGAATCAACATCCAAATATTCGTCTTGTCACTGTCACGTGGAAATACTGTTAGTGCCTATATATTGTCCGATTTGTTGGTTATTCCTATGATTTAGGTCAATGAAACCATACCACGGGCGGGATTTGAACCCGCGGTCAGAGAGTCTCAAAACTCCAGACCAGTGGCCTGGTGGCTAAAGCTCCCGCTTCACACACGGAGGGCCCGGGTTCGATTCCCGGCAGGTGGAAACATTTCGACATGTTTCCTTACACTATTGTCCTGTTCACCTAGCAGTGAATAGGTACCTGGGTGTTAGTCGACTGGTGTTGGTCGCATCCTGGGGGACAAGATTGAGGACCCCAATGGAAATTTATTTATTTATTTATTTATTTCCAATTTGAGCACACATACAGAGGTACAAAAAATACAGATAAGAGCAGCATGCCAAAGCCACTTATACTATGCATAGCATTACGGGCTGGCTTAAAATTAACTTAAGATTAACTAAGCAATGATGAAATCAGTGATAAAACATTAATGTAAACAGATTACTATAAAGCACAAGTGAGTATTACAAAGACAGGTCATATGGTTGCATTCAGTCATATGAAGGATTGTTAGGTAGTGTATTTAAAAAATAATAAAGTTAGATTCGGTTTTAGGTTTAACATTTATGTGATATAATTGTGAGAAACATTTAAGATATACAATTTATAAGGTTCAGTTATTCAGTATTTATTTGGTTTTGGGTGAATAAGTGATCTTTGAGAAGAGACTTGAATTTATAAACAGGTAGTGTTTCTTTTATATTTACAGGTAAATAAGTTAGTCCTCGATGACGCACTGACTTTCTTGGGTTATCCTGGGTGGCTAACCCTCCGGGGTTAAAAATCCGAACGAAATCTTATCTTATCTTATCTTGAGACTCTCTGACCGCTGGTTCAAATCCCGCCCGTGGTATGGTTTGTTTGCAAACCATTTAGGTCAATACTTTAGCTATATTTTGCTTTACATACAATGGGAAGATCCCGCCTTCCAAAATGTTTCCAATGGTTTTTTATAATTACACTCATGGGAGTGGTAAACCCGTAAAGGTCATAGGGCACTTGTTCCAATGGTGAAGACCCCTTCACGTATTGTTGGGTTTGTAAGGGCCGCTGACAACTTACACAGTATCGAGCCCTGCTTCCTGATATGCCCAGAAAAGATTTGTTTATTTAGGTATACATAAATACAGTTACATAGATGGGGTCCACCTCTGGTGTAAATTGTGGGACACAGCAGCATATGTGTATTATTATTATAATAAAAAAGAAGCGCTAAGCCACAAGGACTATACAGCGCTGCAGGGCAGGAAGGAAGCGAGGGCATCAGGTGGCAAAATGGAGATGGATGAGTAATAGGTTACGGATAACAGCGGGGCAGTGGATGGTGAAAGGGTAAAGGGCAGCAAGAGACTGAACTAGAAAGGGCTGAGGGGAGTGCGAAAAGTATCATCAGAGTTTGTGGAGTAAATCAGTCGTTGTCAAGAAGTCAATGAGAGAGTCAGGATTAAAGGAGGGTCCATCAGCAAGAAGGGAAGGTAAAGAGAGAGTAGTAGAACGAAGACGACGTTGGAGGTAAATTCTGCGTGCTCGTTGATAGAGAGGGCAGTTTAACAGAATGTGGCTAATCGATACTGGAACTTGACACTGCTCACAGAGAGGAACAGGGTGCCTCTCCACGAGATACCCATGAGTAAGACGAGTGTGGCCAATGCGAAGGCGGGAGAGAGTAGTCTCCCAACCTGGGCACTGATGACAAGAAGACGGCCAGTAACCTATGCTCGGTTTAATAGAATGAAGTTGTTACCGAGCAGAGTTGACCAACGTTGTTGCCAACGGGTGCGAAGGTGGGTAGCTATTACAGCAAAATAGTCCCCCAAAAAGTCAGACAGTGACTTTTTTCCATTGGGGTCCTTTTAATTCCTTATTATTATACTATAATGGAGATAATATCTTATTATTATACTATAGAGATACACTAGGAATAAGGCAAAATGAGTTATTTATATTTATATATCTCCCTGTCGCTACATTCATTAGACACCTTTTGGCTCTCTTCTTGAACTGGCTCATGCTATGACTGGCTGTGACATTCCTTTATTGCTGTACAATAAAAGGTGTTTGAAGACTGGCCACTGACTGTGGGTACTACAAAGTTGTGATTTCCTCTAGTACTATGATTGCATTGGTTCCAAGCCTTGACAAAATTGGCAGCAAGATATTCTAGACACTAAGCAATTTTATAAACTTAATTTAACTTCAGTTGTTTTACCATGTCTTCAACATTTAAGCATATCCAATTGTTGTTATTCATCCTGGCCTACATGTTCTCATGGACCCAGGTCCAGGATGAATCTTACCATTTTGTTCTGAGTGATTTGCAGTCTATCTTTCAGTTTTTTTTTTTTTTTTGTCAAGGCAGAGTACTACGAAGAACAAGTGTAGTCCTTATGATATTGTATAAGGCCTAGACATAGGGTCCTGCGAGCCTCAGTAGGTACACACTGTGCTTGTCTGGAGAGGAACTTCAGTCTGGCATTCGCCTTCTTTGCTACGCTGTTCCCCATCAATTCTGATATGCACGGGTCAAAGGAAACTCCCAGACATTTTACTGAGGAAACTGAAGTGACAGGCTCCTCATTACACCGGATATTAAAATTATTTGCCCTCAGTTTATGTTTCGTGCCAAAGAGTATGGCTTCCGTTTTCCCGAGGTGTAACGATAGTTTGTTGTCTACTAACCATTTGCTGCAGGACTCCAGTTCCAGTGGGTCTTTACCTGTCACTAACAGAGCACTGTCATCCGCATATAGTAGGAGTTTGCACTTGACACTGATGGGGATGTCGTTTACATAACATAGGAATAATAAGGGACCCAGAATACTATTATTATTATAATCAAGGGGGAAGCGCTAAACCCAGAGGATTATACAGCGCCTGGGGGGGGGGATGTGGAAGGCATTCAGGCTTAATTCGGGGAACTGGAGCACAGATCCAATTCCCTAAATCAAGAGCCCCTCACCAACATCAAGGAACCTTCCTTGAGGGGACCCAGAATACTACCTTGGGGAACTCCACATGCTATCGGCAGGGGTTCTGATTCTGTTTTGTTGATTTTGACAATTTGTTTCCTGTTGTTAAGATAGGACTTAAACCAGTCTACGGAACTTATGCCGATAGCTTGAAGTTTCTTACATAATATATTGTGGTTGACAGTATCGAAGGCCTTTTGCAAGTCTAAGGTAACCAAGATATGATATTTCGTGCCGCAAACTGCCCTTCTCACACTATACCATTCACTCATTTATCCATACCTCACCTATGCTAGTTGTGCTTGGGGATCAACTGCAGCAGCACTGTGGAAAATACTGTATATTTTCCGGAAATAGGTAATTTATAGATGGCCTATATTGTATATAATAAAAATTGTTATCGAAAATGGGAAGAAGCCTGCACCTGCGCAGAAGAGACTCGCCATTGTGTTTTGAATTTTGGACAAGAAACGTTAATGGAATGGGAAGAATTTTCGTGCTCTAGAGGTAAAATTGGGCTGACACCTCTCAAATAGGAGCCGAAATTGTTGGATGTGCATTCCTGCATAACTTTAGATATCAGGCGACTGGACAAGACAGCTCCAGGAACCTCAGATAAGTCTGTTATGTTTGTAATTCCAGCCAGTGTTATTTTCATGTATAGACAGTGAGGTTTTCTGAGTATGATACACCTTGATCTCCAGTCAAATTGGTGAGTGATATTAAGATATTCTCCTTCTGTTATGTATATGTGTTATATATATATATATATAATCATTTATTATTTTTAACATACAGTCCACAAATTTATATATTTACCAGCATTCCTGATTATACATATTTTATTTGTAATTAATGGGTCCAGAGCAACTTGTGGATATGACAGTGGTAGGTATCGAAGGGGGACATTTTTTGCGACCTAGGTGTCCCAAATTCCTACTTGTTTAACTGATAAATAATAATTATCTTTGTTCATTTACTGTTATGTACATAATGATACATTCAGATAAATGTAATTTTCCACAAACACATCTAAAGCCAATAATAACCCAACAAAAAGCCGCAGTAAGAATAATCACTAAATCCCATCCCTGGCAACACCCCCCCCCCACTCTTCATAGATCTAAACTTACTCCCTGTTCAGAACATCCACACTTACTACTGTGCAATCTACATCTACAGGACCTTAAATTCCAATATTAACCTTGACCTAAAACGCTTTCTTGATAGTTGTGACAGGACCCACAGGCATAACACCAGACACAAACTTCTCTATGACATTCCCCGTGTCCGACTAAACCTTTACAAAAATTCAATGTGTGTCAAAGGGCCTAAAATCTGGAACACCCTACCTGAAAACTCTAGAACTGCAGACACATTCATCACTTTCAAAACTACTGTTAGAAAACATCTTATCTCCCTGATACACCCCGTCAACTAACTACATGTAAACCACCTGGTGGTTCACACTTACACTCACTCACCCATCGACTATAAACACAGAAATACGAGTCTTAATCTTAAAAAATGAACCCTAACTAGTCATAAGCTTGCCTATGATACTCCAATATAGACACTATGTATCGTGCCAAAACAAAAGCATTCACATTGCTAAACTTACAAACTATAATGTAGTCACTTAGCCTTAATACCATAATCTGTAATAATTTAAAGTTTAGAATTAATCTAAGTCTGCCCGAAATGCCTAGCCATGCTAGGCGTCCTAGTGGCCCCCTCTGTAATTAGTATTTTAAAACATGTAAACCACACAATAACCAAAATCTGTAAACCCCGCATTGTAATCCTTATAGAGAATAAACTTGATTGATTGATTGATTGACTCCTATGAGGTTCCCTATCGACATTTCAGTTTTCATATAATCCATCAGATTAATTAGGGAGGTATCGGTTGAATAAGATCTCCTAAAGCCTAATTGGTAACTGTGAAGAAAGTTGTCACTAAGATAACTACTTAACAGTATACCGTCCTCTCTAGAATTTTGGATATTACACTGAGTATACTAACAGGCTTATAACTGCTGACATCAGACCTACTATTTTTTCTTGAAGACAGGAGTAACTCTGGCCTTCTCGAACGCCTCTGGTACGGTATTAGTGGTGATGGACAAATTTATTATGTGAGCAATGTGGATTGGCAGTTCCGAGGCACCATCTTTTAGGAACTTAGACGGGATGTTATCTGGGCCGGTGCTCTTAGTTGGGTTTAACCTGCTTATTTCTTTTTGCACGAAGTCACGAGAAACACTTACTAGTTGACAACTGTTTGGGATTACCCCTTTATTGGTTTAGTATGTTTTAAACTTATCCGAGTCAGTGTTAAAGGTATTTGCTGCAGCCGGTAGTTTACTTACTAGCGATGATGAGACGGTGAGTAGTAGGAATTAAAACAATTGGCCAGTTTAGTTGCTTTGTGGCATACCTCGTTTTCGATATTGAGTACTGTGATAGATCTTACCAAAAATTATCAAAATTTTGCAGCCCGGTCCCTAGACCCATTATGTACCTCTGTAATCCCGTGACTACCGCCCCTGACACAATAAGTGTCAGGGGCCCGAGACTGTTCAACTGCCTCCCAGCATACATAAGGGGGATTACCAACAGACCTCTGGCAGTCTTCAAGCTGGCACTGGACAAGCACCTAAAGTCGGTTCCTGACCAGCCGGGCTGTGGTTCGTACGTTGGTTTGCGTGCAGCCAGCAGCAACAGCCTGGTTGATCAGGCTCTGATCCACCAGGAGGCCTGGTGGCAGACCAGGCCGCGGGGGCGTTGACCCCCGGAACTCTCTCCAGGTAAACTACCTAAATATACTTACACACCCTCATCTGAGTTCACCAATCAGCTTCCCACCAAACACGTTAAAGAAATCGCAGTGCGGAAAATGGAGCTGGATAAATTTGAACCGATAACAGGTGCCCCTCCTGTAAAGTGTCAAGGGGGAGAAAGAGATGAGGTCAAGCGTCCTAAAGATAACTTGAGATTGTCACAGATCCCAGACGAGAACAAGACGCCCACACACCACGAAGGCTGGCACAGAAGTCTCCAAAAGCTCGGCAATAGAGGGA